TGGGCGGGATTTGGTTGCAGGTGATCAGCTGATGAACCTTTAAATTATCACCGGGTACGGGGATTTAAATGTCACTGTGGACCTCGATGCTGGGAAGCAGATTGTACTAATAAAGAAGTCTCATTCACAAAAGAACCCAAAGTTTCTTCATTAATGTAAGAAACATTACATTTAGTTCAGCCTACTAGCTGCCAGGAAGTCAAACAAATGCTAAAGGACACATCTGACCTGCTGCTGGCACTTGATGAATAGTCCGAGAGTCACCAGAGTCAGCGGGACTCATCTTCCACAGGCTGAAAATGCTTTTTTTTTAACCAAAATTTCACGTCAATCCATCCAGCAGCTTTTACCACAGTTTCTGTTTGGAGCAAAAAGGGGTTGATCAACCCGCACTGCCCGCTGCCGTCCAGCTCTGAGTATGACAGAAATCACAGAGTGGCACAGACACGGATTTATCCGCACACGCGTGCAGACTCGTACATCACCGCTGACAGCCCCACAAACCAAACCCCCCCCCCTCCCTCCCCGCCGCATTACGGATGGGTTGCCACACACTAGGCCACACTGCGAGCCGGCCCCTTCGGAGCAGCTCCCGGAGCAAGGCCCCGCGGCACGGGGCAGTAAATAACCCGCATAAAGGCGTCGCCGAAGACAACCCGCAGACGCCAAACCCATTTAATGTTAATAGGAGAGCATCGGTTACCAGATTCTAAATAATAGCTCGCAGTCACCACGGCCAAGGATAGTAACCTCTGGTGGAGGAATTTATGGAGTTAGCAAATTGCTTTTCCATCCCCATTCTTCCCCCATTTGTCCATTTTCGCCAGCCCTCAGCACTGGGGTTAAAATGATGGAGAGCCACGGGGAGATGATGGGACTGCTGGAGCCGGCGTGACTGAGCACACCTGTACGAGAGCCGCAGAGCTCCAGAGGATGGCCCCTTCAACGTGTACAACAGCTATCTGTCCATCTGGTCCTCGGGAGGGACAGACGCTCCTTTTTCATAACAGCAGGGCCTGAGGAACTGTGCTTTTGGCAGGTGAGGCTTGTAAGTCAGCAGATGTAGAAGCACCAAAGACAGCTGGTCTGGGGTCAGACATTAATAAGATTACCCCAAAAAAGATTCACCTTTTTTATTTTATTTCCCTTAAACAAAGTGATGTGGTGGAGATAATGGAGTTAAGAAACACTATTTTCTGTCTTTATTTTAATATATATATACTATTAACTGTCAAGTTTAAATTAGAATCAATTGCATATTAAGCCAACGTGTTCATTAAAAAAGTTAAAACATCAAACTGTGCTTTTAGCTTTTCTTCTCTATTCATGAAATATTCTTTTATTCCTTCCAAGGGCACATATAATGAGAAGACGAGTCTCCATCCCCAGCCGTTTGATGATTTAAGTCCACTATGTTAGTGTTCATTAAATGTCTGTAAAGAAGAGAGAAATGTCACCCACTGAAACCATCCGTCCAACACAGGCAAAAGCTGAGCCACAAAGCTTTTAACTGAAAACATTTAGTGCAATAACACTATATAGAAAAGAAAATCACTGAGGTCTTCATTGCTCCACTGAAGAGCAAGGTGACATCAATAAGCCGGGGTCAGCACTAATTTAATAGTAACGCCAGCTCGGCTCCATGGAGCCCCACTGAGGACACCACTGTTAAACTGCTCTTTTCTTAAGAAAGCTAATGTGCGACCAAAGTGATTATTCATAATCCCATCATCTGACCTACAGCCACCTTTTTATTGTAAATAAAAAGGCACTATTCGGGCTAAGAATATTCAATGTCACAGCAGTTGCTAGGTTGCTAATTCTTAACGCTCCAACAGAGTTACTGGAGACCTCGGGCGGACTTTAACAGAGGATGACATTTTCAGATCACTCTCCTGAATTAAAAACGGGAAGAAGAAAAAAGAAACATGCTCGAGACGATCTTAAACACAGCTAGTTTCACACATAACCTAAATAATGGAGCATTAAAGATACCGTTTCAGGATTCAGCAGGGGGGCTGAAAACAAACGATGGAGGAAAAACTGCTCTCCCCCTCGAGAGCAAAGAGATTACAGTTTTAGGATTAACTTTTTACATTTCCCCAACTGTGAGGTGGCTTATGAGTCCTACAGGAGCCCAAAAAAAAGAAACATCAAATATGAAAATAAAAGGGAGTGCACAAAATCAACTAAACCCCCAACCAGGTTAAGCTTAGTTTACTTCAGAGGGTGAACGGAGACAACTTTTCTAAAAAAGAAAACATGGAGAGTGAGATTGAGTGACGGCAGGTTCAATGAATGACAAAACCCTATGCATAAAGAATTCCATTAGTAGGTAAATGTAAATGGTGTATGGTAATATAGGGCTTGAATAGATCAAATTAATGGCCAACAGTTCACTTCGACAGAATAATTCATTCAAAACTGTAACAGCTACGGTAGCAACAATTATCAAGATGGCAGAGAGTTCTCCACCAGCAGCACAAATGCAAATCAGTCCAAATCGACCTAAATAAAGAAATTTCAACATGGGAAACGTGATGGTTGGTGTCAATTAAGAGGAGGTTCAGGGTTAGTTCATCTGACAGACTGGGGGGGGGAGCGGAAAACCATCATCTTAACCTTAACTGACACATGTGGTAGTGCTTTTCTGCTCTTCAGAATGCATAAATGAAGCTAATATGTGGGATATGCTGTATGATTTTATCTATACTATGCAAAGCACAGCCAGAGGGGGAGCGCTGAAAACGCACAGATGAAAAATGACCATAAGGCATGTAGAGGGAGGGCAGCAGGGACAATGAAGCATCCTCGTAATCCAGTTAAGTCTCTCACAATTACAGTTCACCGCCGAGTGGAGAGCAGAGAAACACTTCCAGAACGCGTGCTGCTCATTATTAACCACTATTAAACCCACAGTGCAGCTTTTCTTGCTTACTCTGTGTTTGCTTTGCAGCAGGCTGATCAGGAGGAGCGTAATCCTGTCATCATGTCAAAAAGCCTCAGGACAGGATGTGCCTCTGTTAGGACTCCTCAGCTGCAGATTACCGCTCAGGTCAAACACTCCAAGAGCTTTAAATAAATTGCATTTTCATGTAATAGAAATGTCTGCATTAATAACAATGTCAGTTCACTTTTACAAGAATTCTTTTTTTTTTTAAACTTCATCCAAACACACAGGTGAACCACTTAAAAGAACCAGACCTTCTGCTTAAGCCTGATTTAAGCCTTATTTACCCACTGGAGATTAGATAACTCAGACCTGTGTGGTAAAAGGGAGGGGAACAATAATTCAAGAATCAATTCTAGAAAAGCCAAAGAAAAAATCATCATATAAATGTGTTGAAAATTGGGTTTGTTTAACGATGTAGGTTAGTCATTTTAGACTAAAATCAACTTTATTTGCGTGCTCTTAACGCTTCAGATCGTGGTCATAGTTCTAGGGGACACAGAACACCATCACACCCGGAAAATAGGGAATTTACCCCCCTGTTGTATCGCACTGCTCCCCTCAGAAGTCGAGGACACACGCGCTGTGTAATTACTGCCACAATTACACACACACACACACAACATTCAAGGTTCAGAGAAAGCCAAACAAAACCACCAAAAAAAACACCTCAGTCTGCGCCCACTCACGCAAACTGCTCCTATTCCGCGTGGAGTGGGACCCACGCGTGTCCACGTCGGGCTCCTTCGCTCCATCCGGCTGGACAAAGTGCACGCGCAGGCAGTGCCTTCTCATTTGCTTCCATTTACTTCCCCTTAACCGCAGTTAGTGGAAAAACCAGCTGCTGCTCGGTGCACGCTTTCGATCATCAAGTGCCCAGAATTAGAAGTAAGAATTAAAGAGGTGAAGAAAGGGGGTGGGGGGGGCCCTCCAGTTGCTGCACATTGCCCGGGAGCGCACGCAAACGCAGGGCTGCGGTCCCCCAAATCCCCCATCCATCACACGGACGTCGCTAGATTTGGGGGGGGGGAAAACCAGCTGGCAAACCGGGACCGGGACGATGGGGAGCAGCCCGGAGGCGACGCACGGCGCGCTCCCGTCTGCCCCGAGTAGGGGGGGGGAGGTTAGAAACCCGGCATCTCCGAGCAAGTCGCCACTTAGTGAGAAGCACTCTTAACGCGCAGCAGCCCCTTACCTTTCTCGCTCCCTTATTTTAGGGATGGTGGGGGGGGTTAGTATTTGTCTCCCAGAGGTCCGATGAGTTGAGGGCTACGGAGGGCGCAGCAGAAACGGTCCGATCCTCGG